ATGGTCATGTGATGTGAGTATCAGTCACCTGGAGGCAGGACTTAAAAGCCTGAATTTTGCCTGAAACTCTCAGACTGAAGAAGTCTCTTGGAAGAGAGACAAAACGTTTCATTAAAGAAGAACCCGTCCAGAGGACATATACAATTTTTTTTCCTTTTTTCTTTTTTTACTATCTACAGGTGGTAAAATAAAACAGGATATTGCCACCTCCAATTGATTAAGCACTGTGTGAGACCTCTTTCTTTTACTCAAAATGGCCGTTTATCACAAAGGACTCACCCATTTGCCAGACTTAAAGTCTCCCCAAAGTGGCTTTGCTATCTATAACCCCTTTTGAGACCAGATCTCCTGCTGAGATATTGTCACCCAAGGAAGCTTCAAAAAGACACRTTTGCATACCATCTCATTTATGGTTTTAGAGCACCCCCAAAAGGCTGGTYTCCTAATTACATCATGAACAAATGTCTTTCTGTTGTTTGTCATCTGATAAAAGAAAAAGAAACATTTTTTTCTATCATGATTCAATCACTGTGATAATGCTTGATTTACCGGTAATTACTTCACAAGTAATCTATCACTCTGCGTGTTTAACAGCAGTAAAGGACCGTGAAAAGAAAGATGGATCATGTGACTGTTTTCAGCCAATCCTGAGTTTGTACAGTCAGGGACAATAGATAACAGTTAGTTCTGGTTTAGAGTTTAGAAGAAGAGTTGAAAGGAGAAGAAGCAACAGAGGACTGGAGTCACAGCTCCATTTTTCCCCTTTGGGGACATTTTATTTTATTTTAATTTTAATTTTTTTAGTTCACTTTTTATAGTGCGGCGACTGGATTTATTTAGGAACTGAACTGACCAGAACTTCTATTCAATCAACACGGATCCAAAACGACCTCCTCGTTTTCCAGCTGGAGCTGACCAAGCAGTTTCGGTGTATTAAGTCTGTACCCGCAAGGGACCACTCTGAAATCGGGCGGCACCAGTGACCCAGCCTTGCTCGGACCTCCGGTACCCTGGGACAGGCCTGACGATTCACATCGAATTGGTAGGAAAGAACAACTTTCTACACTTTGGTGGTGTGCTCAGCTGAAGTGGTGAAGGGAGAGTGTTGGTAACGATGATTGCATTGAATGAAGATCTGGCAAGTTCATTCCTTTATAATTCACGTCCCTTCTTGATAAATGGATTAACACTTTCTTTTTATTAATCTGGAGGTTTTCATTTATTTTGCTAGTGTAGAAATAATTAGAAGTGGTTCAGTTTGAATAGTGCTAGAGGTGATTATAGGGTGATGATGTCACGTTATTATCAAACCACCAGGTCGTGATAATAATATTGTTTCTGTTTGCCCCAAATAACCTGTCTGTATTGTTACCTCTGAATCATTAATACAGGGTATATTGTGAAATTTCCATGCTCGTGTGTGCATTTATTTATTCGGTTTGCCGTCTAAACTGAAAAGAATTCGCTCTTCAGTAAGTGAGATTGAGTAAAATTACAAGATTAATTTCCTGTTATTCACAGGTGGTGCCCCGTTTTCATGCTAATGAGTTACGAGAAACATGTGATTTAGCAACTTTTCAATAATGAACTATTTTCCCCTATACACTCGTCATCAGAAAATTATATCTGTTTATAAATAAATGCTCTGTGTGTTAAACTATTTATTATATCCTCCAGTAAGACTGAATCTGTTCCTGTTAAATGTGTTTTTGGCACAACTTTGTGTGTCCTTTATTTAACTGCGTCCATGTGGATGTAATAATTGTTAATCATGTGGATGTAATTGTTAATCATGTGGATGTAATAATTGTTAATCATGTGGATGTAATAACTGTTAATCATGTGGATGTAATAATTGTTAATCATGTGTATCTGCTGTGAACAATAATCATTTTCACATCATGAACAGTTTCTCAGAATCACCTCTAAGTGTCTCCAATGGAACAAGAACCACAGAAACGTGTGACACCAGCCCTGGAGTTGGTGTGGAGCTGCGCACATTTCCACGTTCAGTTGAGTTTTGATACATCCTGAGTTTTGCGTGGATGACGTACGCAAGGTTTTTGTGCGTACACATTGTTTGATACATGAGGCCCCTGGTGTTCTACAAAACAGCGTTGGTGGCTATTCAGGCCATTTCCTGGCTGCCTGACCAATATGAAGGATTGCCGTTCTAGCAGCACTCAAGACTTCAGCCATGTGCAAGCTGGACTCGGTCTGCAAGTGGTTCTGCTCAGGGTCACGGGCCGGCTGTGGTTCCTGGACTTTGCTGGCCAATCAAATGAATTGATCTTGGAGAAGCTTGAAGAAATTTAAAGTTATTAGTGGTTAGTACTGATGTTAAAAGCACAACACTATATTCTTAGGTTTTCCTTTTTGTAATGTTGACAGTGTTTAATCTATTATGTTTTGATTGAAATAAGTTCAGTTACACGTCCGAAATATGTGACAACACATAATCAAACGTTGTGATGACATTAGCTGAGAATTTTGTCTGAATGCCTGTGATTCAGCTGTAGGTCAGTAGGGGGCGAACGCAGGCATATGCAAGCCACATGAACTTCCTGGTTTTCCGTGAGTGTTGGTTTCCTGTCAGCTTGAGTGACAATAAACCTCACTCAGATCCAGAATTCTGGTGTTGTATGGTTTAATTCCTTCTACAAATCATTTTATTTAACAATTGTGTTTTTAATATCGATTTCAGTTTATTGAATACGAATTTTCTTACAAGCTGATAGCTCGGCTCAGCAGGATTGCCCACATTATTTGCCTGATTGGATTCACCACATTGGATGCACCAGCGGACATTAAGGCAGATGGAAAATTATTATTGTCTGACTGACCCTAAACATTTTCTTCTGTTCCCAAACAACTGATTACAGATTAGCCCCCCAACATGTGAAGGCTGTGGATCTGATTTCTCCTGGTGTTTACGTTGACTTGAGGCTCCTCCCCCACCTCTCCCCTCCTCACTCTATTTAATCTGATCTCCTGAAGGTCAACCTGGAGCTGCACAGAATGAACCATTCAACACCAATATTCTGAACTAATGGCTGAACTACAGGTTTTATTTTTGGGAGGCTGGGTTCTTAGGACTCATTCCCTCAAAACTCACTTACTCCTCTGGTTAATAAATGTGCTCTTGCTTGTCGAGTTTTTTTTTTTGTCATAAACACCATCGTGTACCATATTTCATTAATATAATATGGTGTTTTGTTTTTTTTCCCTCATCTAAACTTCTGTGGTATTTTTGTTTTTCTTTTTAAAAGTAGCGCGACCCCTGCTGGTTGCTGCATGACCTGATCACCTGTTCCCTCATGTTTTTGTCATGTGTGTCTTCTTGAATGGGTGTTCTTAAATGTAATTTCATTGTGCTCCATACAATGACAATAAAGACATCATCAATCAAATATTTCCCTGCAAATTACCTTCTATATTTTGCTGAACTCATAGGTCCTGTTATGATACTAATCCAACGTGAATAGGCATCTCTGTGATTTGGGCAAAAATGGGATGAATCCCATTATATAATTAGTTTTGTTTCCTGGGTGCATTTTTATTGGCTTTTGTTGAAGAATGAAGGTTGGATTAGAGTGCACTGAAAATCTTTAGGGTCCCGGGCCAGAAAAACCCGACCTATAATGTGCACCATCAAAAAGAAAAGGCTAAAGAGAAGGAGTAAAATCACATGCAGATGATGGCTCACTTTGTGTTGAGAACATTTTTTTTTCTGTTTGTAACCTTCTGGCTGACACTGAGCGCCAAGCTGTGGTCATAGCACAAAGGTCTGTAAATATCAGCAAAATCACAGGTTTCAGCTATCCTGTGTGAATATGCCATAAAAAACAGATGTCAGGGAATAATTTATTACTCACATGGGATCCTTAAATAATGTTTATCCTGTGCGAATAGGGCTTATGTTGGAGTTGTGTTATTGACTGTAAAACAGAAAAGTCTGAGCCAGGATGACTGGAGGGAACTGGGCAATGTTCAAACAAAATCCAAGTGCTGGTACAGTGCTTTGTGCCACATGGTGGACTGGATATTAAACTGTCAAATATAAGCAACTTAGCTTTAGCTTATGAATTATTTTTTCATCTATGCAGTATCTTAGCGTTAGCTGAATTAATTTGTATTCATAAGTGGTTTAGAGGTATATGAAGCTAATGTTTCGGTTAGCGGTGCCCACCGTTGCAGGGAGGTATTGTAAACTAAAAATAGCGTCGGGAGCGCATTGATCTTTTTCATCACCTTATCAAAGCCTTGCTCCTCCAGCCTCCTGCCCAGAGTTTCGCCAATTCCCGACAAAGCCATCACTGGTTTGTCACCCATCGGTTCACCGACAAAGTCCCGGTGCTTCTGAGATGTAGTAGACATCACGACTGTAAAGAGCAGAACGTTACAGGAGAACATTACAAAGAACACTGCAGAAACTGCATTTCCTGTGAGAATGCTAGTGTGAATGCTTCATGATGAAAACTTCAGCTGAAAGCTGCTAAAATTCAGCTGATAATATCTAATAGCAAAAAATATTTTTGGAAACCTGAAAGAAGCAAAAAAAAAAAGCTTATCTTTGCAGAAAAACAGTAAAAAGGAGCAGGTTTATAGATGAAAAAGCTAAAAGCTAAAATAGCTGAATATAGCAGAAAGCAACTATAAGAAGCATAAATCGTACAAAGTAGCAGAAAAAAGCACAAAAAAAGAATAGTAGAAAGGAGCAGAATAACAGTGTGAACTAGACATGGGTTTTTACAACGTAAAAACAAGTGTACATTGCCATGTAGCATGTCATTGCAGCATGGCTTTGCCTGCAGCATTGGACTTACAGAATGAACTTTGACCAAGTTCAAATGTGTTTTCTAAACCAGCTTGTGCCTGTCACGTCAGCAGGTGTTTGTAATTAAGGTAATTGTGTGACAATATGAAGTTTGAAGAGATTTTTGTTAAAGTTGCATTAGCTGGATTTTGAACCCTGACCTCGCACATGAAAGTCCATGACATAGACCATTAGACCAATAGAGCTGTGGCAGAAAATGGTGGCAGGGGTTGATTTGTATGTGTGCAGAAAGAGGCCACATTACCAATACAATTATTGACACAAAAATGCATAATATTACAACAATAGAGCAGTATTAAGACATTATTATAGTAAAACATCAAAATACAATCACATTAGTATTGTAAACACTGAACTATTGAGATTAAATATAAAAAAGCTATGGTGCAGCACCATGTTGAGTACAGCTGGGGGCAGTATTGGACCAATACAAGGCCTGATTGACTCCCATTATATGAATTTGGAATAAAGTTTAAACATTAATATTTCAAAAACTACAAGTTGTACAGGCACCAAAAGGCATAGCCTTCATTCGGCACAGGAGCTTTACAGATATAAATTACAATGGCAGCTCTAGGACAAAGTATGCAGGAGGAGAAGCATGGCAAAGTTGAGCTGACTTGGATGGGAAACGAATCACAATAGTGTGCGTTGCATTGGCCATGCACACTGACTAACAGAAAAAATATTTAAAAATAGCATAAATAAGCTGAAGGTAGATGCCACAAGTTGAAATCAGCACCTAGATGGTGAAAATGTCAAAAAATTAAAATTAGCAAAAAAAAAAAGCTTAAAAAAATGCAAAAAAAAATTATAATTTGTAATAAAATAGCTAAAACAGCTGAAATTTTCAGTAAAAAACAGCGAACATGTAGCTGGAAATTATTTGATTAGCATTAAGTTATGCTAATTATGCTGTGAAGCATTCACACTGACAAATTCAAGTTAGCAAACACAAGTTGAAATTAGCACCCAGATTTTAATCTGGTGTAGAAAATTTGAAATTAGCCGAAAAATTAGTAAAAAAAAACAAAAATGTGATAATTTGCAGTAAAATAGATAAAAAGTATCTAGAAGTTTAATGAGCATATGGAAGCATGAGGAGCAAATGTTTGCTGAACTTAGCTAATATAAGCTGTAATAGCTACCAGGAGCATTGGGTTCAGATATAAACACTGATCATGTCAGATAATTATTTAATCGGCTCTGATTAAACAACTTCAGATACAACGTGCTAAAAATAGTATCCATGTAAACAAAGCGGGCTGAATGAGACGTCACGTCTTTACTGCACATGTGGGTCACGTCGGTGCTGTGTAGAGTTCACACTGTGGTCTGATGCAGCTCACATTTATAATGTAACGTGAACGTTCACACTGAAAGATGATTGTTTCAAAAAATCTGAACTGAGCAACAAGACCTGCAGTGTGAACGTAGCCTGTGATTCTTAGTGATTTAAGGGCCATGGAGGTCAAAGGTCACAGTACATTAGATCGGTCTAATTAAAAACAAGCTAAACATTGGTATACTGGCAGCTGAGAGTTAGGTCTATCACAAACAGTAGCCAAAAAATATCCAAGATGGCCACCAAAGCTAATTTCAAATTACTTTAACGTTTCGATTATTTTAATGCTATACATATGAGACAATATATCACCGATGCTATATTGCCTTATATGTATTAGCTCGGCGCTAGCACGACAAACAAGCTAACCTGTTGTCCTCCATCCATATTTTCAGTTCCAGGCTGAGTCATTTCTACCTTCTCCTCTCTGTCAACGCTCTCTGGTTTCATTTAAAAGAGTCGATCATCAGATATTGTCCAAGATTAACCTTCAGGGTGGATATAGCTCGCTAGCAGCCTCGCACCGAGGACCTATCCACGTCATCATTTACCCAGAATGCTTTGTGTGCAAATAAAATGGCTCCGTCCGTGTTAAAATATATTTTTAAACTTTTAGTTTAAGGGTTGCCAGTTCCATTCCCCATTCCTTCTCAGTTGTTGGGCAAGACACATCCCCTGCCTTGCCTACTGATGGTGGTCAGAGGGTCCGGAGGTGCCGGTGCATGGCAGCCCCGCCTCTGTCAGTGTGCCCCAGGACAGCTGTGGCTACAGTGTAGCTTAGCACCATCAGTGTGTGAATGGTTGAAGTTTAAAACACTTTGAGTCTGTAGAGACTTGATAAAGTGCTGGATGAGTTTAAGACATTTATTACAAAAAATATCTTTACTTTGTGCAGAACTGATGTTTGGAAACTGTAAATACATAATAATTTGTGAAATCTTGTGACTTGAAAGAAAAAAGAAAAAAGTGAAGATTAAATCATAATTACAAAAAATCTCAATAATTTTACATTTCAACATTAATTTTAGACATTTAAATGTCTATTTTTTTAAACTTAAACCAAATTAAGCAGATACTTATATTAGTAATAACAAAGGCTAAAGTATAATATAAAACTGTTTTCAGTTTGCTTGAGAGGTTTTCTTTACAGATATTTTATTTATTTATATATTTAATTAGTTATTTATTTATTTGTTAAATTTTATTTTTTGCGGGGGAGGGGTCCTTCATGCTGACTGGACCAGAAACCAACACTCAACACCCACACAGTCTTATTTTAATTAAATGGTTAATAAATGGTCAAACTGGTTAAAACCTTTCATAATAAATTAATAAATTAATTTAAGTCTGATTTGTTTGGGTTCTGTGGGGCTTTTAATTTGACAGTTAGTTCTGATGGACCGGAACTACAGTTACATCTCAGACTGGACCCTAATGATCGGAAAGAGAACCGGGTCAGAACTCACCTGTTACCTGCTGGACTTCACGTGCACTGGACCGGGGTCACGTGGTGTCTCGGACAAACAGACAGACGCTGAGAAACACGTCAGATTTAAACATTAAAAGCACCTGAAACAGGCAGCAGGTCTCTCACAAGTCCGTTTACATTACGTGACACGTCACCTGGAACGACCAGGCCCGACTGGACTCACCTGAACCTCAGGACTCAGGTAGGACTTCGGAGGAACCCAGAGAAACTTCTGTCATCTCTCCAACAAGCGCTTTAATCAGAAACCCTGCAGTGGACGCTCTGACTCTGACGTCATGACGCAGCCAGCCAAAGATTGTTTGTGATGAGATGAGTCACTCACTCGTAACAAAAGAGAAAACACCACTGACACTAAACTCTTCACTTTTTCTTTTAGTGTCTGTGACAAAACACAGATATTATTAGAAAGAAGAACTACTGTGCGTTAATTCTGTGTACACAGAAGCTTTTAATAATACATAATTTGTTAATACACAGACTACTTTAAATCCTATCCCAGTGGTGGGCACAGTTCCCCTAAAGCACTAATCAGTGTGCATTGCCAATGCAATGCACACTGTTGTGATTCATTTCCCATCCAAGTCATCTCCACTTTGCCATGCTTCTCATCCTGCATACTTTGTCCTACAGCTGCCATTGTAATTTATATCTGTAAAGCCCCTGTGCCAAATGATGGCTATGCCTTTTGGTACCTGTACAACTTATAGTTTTTGAAATATTAATGTTTAATAATTTATAATGGGAGTTAATGGAGCCTTGTTTTGGTCCAATTCTGCCCCATGCTGTACATACTCAGTACTGCACCATAGTTTAATAATATTTAAACTCAGTAGTTCAGTGTTTACAATACTAATATGTTAGTATTTTGATGTTTTACTATAATATTGTCCTAATAGTGATTTATTGTTATAATATTATTGCAGTTTAGTGTCAACAACTGCAAACAGAATAATAATAACAGTTATCAAATTCAGCCCACGATAGTCAATATATGGATGAAGATCTACTATATAATCTTTTTCAACAAAAAATATTCCTGCCCCTACAGGCGAAGTGGAGGGGTGAATTATACCTGAAGAGAGAGACTCTTGGATATAATTCTTCACTCAGGATCTGACAGATTATACAGCCAACTGGAGGGCTGAGAGACACCGGGCAATAGCACGATGGCGCAATCATAAGAATGATGTGGAGGTAAAGACAGGGCTTTAGCTTTATTAAAGACTGGAGCCAAATCATGGTACTCTTGGGGAACTATTGACAAATCAATTCTTTCAGGGGAGCTCTCCTTAAACATAAGACTTAAGAGTTATTTATAAATAAGAGTTATTTAAACAAAAATCACTCCAACATTCCACTCTCTTTTCGGCCCAGTTTAAAACAGGATTATGCCTTTTTAATAAAGGGAACCCTTAAACCAGTTGTGGAGTAGTAACAAATAAAAACTGAAAAGTGTGCAATATTATTCAGCCCCTTTACGTTCAGTGCAGCATACTGACTCCAGAAGTTCAGTGAGGATCTCTGATCTAATGTCCTAAATGACTGGTGGTGATAAATAGAATCCACCTGTGTGTAATCAAGTCTCTGTATAAATGGTCCTGCTCTGTGATGGTCTCGGGGTTCTGTTTAAAGCAGAGAGCATCATGAAGACCAAGGAACACAACAGGCAGGTCAGAGATACTGTTGTGGAGAAGTTTGAAGCTGGATTTGGATACAAAAAGATTTCCCAAGCTTTACACATTTCAAGGACATCTCAATATGATCACTGTGCAAGTGATTATATTGAAATAGAAGTATCAGACCACTGCAAATCTACCAAGACCTGGTCGTCCTTCTAAACTTTCATCTGGAACAAGGAGGAGACTGATCAGAGATGCAGACAAGAGGCTCATGATCACTTTGGATGAACTGCAGAGATCTACAGCTGAGAGTCTGTCCATCAGTTGTACACTGCACAAATCTGGCCTTCATGGAAGAACGGCAAGAAAAAAGCCATTTCTCAAAGATATTCATAAAAAGTCTTGTTTAAAGTTAGCCACAACCCGCCTGGGAGACACACCAAACATGTGGAAGAAGCTGCTCTGCTCAGATGAAACTAAAATCAAACTTTTTGGCCACAATGCAAAACGATGTTTGGTGTAAAATCAACACAGCTCATCACCCTGAACACACCGTCCCCACTGTCAAACATGGTGGTGGCAGCATCATGGTTTGGGCCTGCTTTTCCTCAGCAGGGACAGAGAAGATGGTTCAAACTGATGGGATGGAGCCAAATCCAGGACCATTCTGGAAGAAAACCTGTTGGAATCTGCAAAAGACCTGAGACTGGGATGGAGATTTATCTTCCAACAAGACAATGATCCAAAACATAAAGCAGAATTTACAATGAGATGGTTTACAAACAAACATATCCATGTGTTACAGTGGACAAGTCAAAGTCCAGACCTGAATAATCAATGAAGAATCTGTGGAAAGAGCAAAAAACTGCTGTTCAAACGCTCTCCTTCCAACCTCACTGAGCTCCAGCTGTTTTACAAGGAAGAATGGGTAAGAGTTTCAGTCTGTCCATGTGCAAACCTGACAGAGACAAACCCTGAGCCACTTGCAGCTGTTACTGTATCACAGCAAAACGTGGTGCTACAAACTATTAACGCAGGGGGGCTGAATAATTTTTACACCAATTTTTCAGTTACTATTTACAAGTTCAAAAAGTTTAAAATATTCAATAAATTTTGTTCCATTTCACGATTGTGTCCCACTTGTTGTTGATTCTTCACAAAAAATTAAAAATTTATATCTTTATTTTTGAAGCCTGAAATGGGGCAAAAGTTTGAAAAGTTCAAGGAGACTGAATACTTTCGCAAGGCTCTGTGTCGCTGCAGACGAGTTTCCAGAGGAAGGGACACACCTGACTGAACGAGCACAAAAAGGTCTTACTTTTCTACCCTAGCATCAGATTTTCACGTCTATTTTAATTATATTTAGTTTCATGCTTGCTGTTGTTACTGAGGTAAATAGAAGACTTGGGAATAATAACAGATTATGTTAGCTGCTGGTATTATATGTTTATATGAAGATGCCACAAGTGTCAGACCCTAGGTCTTAAGAGCAACATCAGTTGCTAGTGTTTTTTTTTTTTTTTTTTGAGACATTTAGGAAATAGGGAGATCTAAAAATTTTTAGTGATATGTTGCAATTTCATTAAAAACAAAAGTAGTTTTGGCTGCTAAAATTAATGTGAAAGTAGTAAAAGTCAAAAGAGAACAAAAAAAAAAAACAACAACAAAAGAGAAGAACCAGCCTTTTCTAAAAACAGAGCAAATACAACTAACCAATCAGTGTTTATGCTTGATAAACGCCTATGAGTCTGCAGAGAACCCCCACAGAGACATCTGTGGGGGCGGTCGTGGCAGAGTGGTTAGGAGAGTCGTCCTGGAACTAGTAAGTTGCCCATTTGATCCCTCGTTCCAGCCATCTCAGTTACTACTTGTCAGCCTTAATAACATAGACCATTGGTGCCCAAACATTTTCCCCGAGGGGGCCAAAAATGAAAATCTATCCATGGCTGCGGGCCAAATGCAGTTATATAATACATGAAATACAAATACTTTTTTAAGTAAAGTCCTTTATTTTTAACGATTAAGCTGTGCTATGACCCTCTTTTGTACTTGGAGAAAGTCTGCCATATGCTCAAGTAGCAAAGTCTCATAAATTGATAAAATATGAGTTTTTGTGGCCTTATAAAGTGTGCAAATCTACATGTGGAGTTAAATCTGATCTAAATATTTCTTGTTGTCATATCACGTTTCATGTTTAATCCTCATAAAACAAAGAAATGTCAGCACCATGGCTGAAAACTACCTTCACTACAGCCCTTTTATATAGTCATTTGACCAATGTGTTTGTGTTTCTACCTATAGGATAACAGATTACAACCTTGTAACTTCGGCAACTGTTGGTGGGCCAAATCAAATGGCTTGGCGGGCCAAATTTGGCCCGCGGGCCCCAAGTAGATTTTCATCACAATGTGGAAGCTCAGTCTCATTGTTTTCTTCAGTGACACTAAAGGCTGAATTAGAGCAGGTGGCCTTTAAGGTAAAGGCAGCTGCTTTACAGAAAAGACTAGACTTAGAAAAACAAGAAGTGGCGTGGCACCAATAGAAAAAGTACAAGAAAATTCAGTTAGAGGTTGAAGAAAAACGAGTAGCAGAGTTTGAAGCTCAGCAAAACAAAGTTGAAGCTCCTTTAAATGCACAGTGCGTAGGATTAGTTGTTTTCAGCGACATCTAGTGGTTGAGTGGTTGAATCATCCTCCCTGGTCCTCCCCCCGCCCCCACCCCCCGCTTCCAAACACAAAGGAGTTGCTACGGTGTCTCTCAGGTGTCAAAAACCTTTGATAATTCCAACCACGATGTCTACCAGCAGCTTCAGGGCTAGTGATGTTTCAAGTGGTAAGATTATGTAGAGGTCACCTCTAGTGAAGAAACAAGATTTACTGCCTCGGAGCAGGCCTCGGACA